TCACGATTTTCCTGGTGATCATTGGTGACGTTAGTTGGCACAGTCATTTAGTTGCGCAAATGGATTATCACTAACAATGTATTAATGCAACGAGTAAATGCAGTTCTCACCAATTATACCACATTAATAATACAAAACTTTATCATCTATATACGGATTCCGTCCAAAAACGTGAATACGTCTTAAGCTAATCCCAATACGGAATTTGATTTCGGACTTCCAAAATTGCTAAAATTAGGCGGTGCTACTTTTAGAAAAAAATAAATTTATAATTGCATACTTGTTTATTGTTAATAATGAAGAGAATTTTAAAACCCAATCGAGTAATATGATACATTATTGTTTATTTATATACGAAACTGGTACAAATACATATTTTATTGAATATTTCCATTCTTATTTATAATTTGTAATTCTAAAAATAAAAATATTGATAAATCGTAATAAAAGTAAATTTACTTGTAGGCAAGTGTCACTCTCAATGAGAGAAATTATCATTACCCATCATTTTTGATCCATTTTTTCTGATTTTTCTAAATATTCTACATCTACAACATATTCCTTTAAAAAAATTTCAAGGGAACTTGCAATTCTTTAAATCCTTGAGGAAAAGAATTTGACTTCGCCACCAAGGAAGAAGTATCAACTAATGGAAGTAATGGAAGAGTATTTTATGTTTGTTATATGTCCTAAAGCTTAATCCACAGCAATAAACTTGCATACAACCCCAAGGCTGTATTACCGACTTAATATATTTACCAAATAGAATCGTATATGATGTCATAGCTATACTACAAGCACGCCCAAAAGAGCAATCACGTCAAATACCTTTTTTTTTAAAAAAATGAAATCAAATAAATATATAATTAGGTTTATTTACACCCGAAGTGATCATTTGGATAACCTCATTTCGGATATCCCTGTTGTAAATATCAAAAAACTTACATTACGTACTCTAAAATGATGGCGTAGGATGTCAATTGTTGTTAATAAAAGTATTTGTTTTTTTTGCGAACTATCAATTTTCTAACTCACCTTCGTTCAGTTTCTATTTGTATGCGATGAATCATGAAGTTTAAACCAATTCTATTAAAATATGCTTCGGGTTTAGTACGTAGGTTATCAGGTAAAGAATAGCTCCCCGCTATGATTAAAAACTAGGAAACGGGAAACCGTTGTTGATCCCAAAATCGGAGATTTCATTGGTTGAAGATTACGTGAGCCGGACAGGAAAACTAAATAATCACGTGACCGAAAATTTTCATAGCGCATATAGACATATATTGTCCTTCGCTTCTCTCCGGACAATTAGTCCTTGGAGCATTTAATAAACAAAAAGGAAACAAAAGGTACTTATTGAACCATTACTTGATAGTAATCAATATCGAAGATCAAATGATGTCCTACGTCAAGAAAGATTATCGTTGATTCAAAGAATTTTGTAATAATGCACCTTCTCTAATTCAAATAGAACTCAGGAGACAAATTTTATTAAATAATTAAAGAGCTTTTGAAATTTTTACATTAGATCCTTTACTGTGATCATAAATTTTTCAAGGTCATAAAGAAAACGAGTTCTTCAATTTGTCATGATTCACTGAGGTGGTCAGTCAACTAAGTAAAACAAAACTATATGTGGTTATCTAACATTCAGTAGCTTAAATTAAATTTTTTTGATCGAAAATTTGATAACATAATATCAATAACAAACTTTATATAAATGCTAATTCATGTTTTTTTTTTTTAGATGCCCAGATCGATAAAAGCAACTTCTTTCCCAATTATTTTGGTATTAACTAGTTTTTATGAAATATGATTACAAAGTTACGAAGCGTTATTTACATTAAACAATAAACTCTCTACATTTAACATACTTAAAAATTCATCTATTTATTTAAAGCCAAATATTAGATTCTTTATATTGAATAATACAAATGACTTCGTAACTTAATTTTTCAGATTGTAATTTCGAAAAACTAAACTATCTATCTAATGAAGAGGTGCAGATATCTATCAATGAAGAGGCATCTAAAACATAACGAACTCCATTAATATAACTTCTTCGGGCCAGTTAATAATAATAGTTTAAGAAAATCCGATTGAAAGGATCGACAAAAAAAAAATTCGATCAATGATTTACGTACAGTACTTGGACGAAAACAGCTCCTGTTTAGAAGGATCATATGATTTACTATATATCTCGTGAGTATTAAAGTTAGGTATTATGGGTTTAGATATATAACAAATCAAATCGTATTTTTGCTTTATAATATTTGTTCCTTCTTTTCATTCTAAGATTTCCATCAATCACCAGAAATGTATTCTTCTGTTTCATCCCTATGTAAGAATATAAATTCCAATCCGGATGGTGACAAAAAGATTTACGACCAACGTGTCGTTTATTTATTGAATAAATTTTTAGTTTTTTTGGAATATTTATTATGTGTCATCCGAAACGTGAAAACGATAAGACAAGGAGAATAATTATTACATTTTATTTTATATATTGGCAATTAAATAATCACTAAACCGAATATTCGATGTATTATCCCTGCAACTAGGCTCAAAAAACTTACAAATAACGTCATTATTAGAACTAATGTGAAATTTGTCCCTATTGTCGTGAAATACATTATCTAATTCCAAGAGAAAATGTGGAATAGGAGGAAACAAACAATTAGATTATGAGAAATCCTATTTAGTAGCTTTTCAAAAAGAAATTATTTAGCTTACGAGAATAACAAATTGAGACACGTCTTCAAGTAAAACCATAATTAATCCAATTATAGATAAGCATTTCTTTGCATTCTTGTTAATCGGAGCATTAAGTGCATCTGAGTGTAAGAAATTCGATGTAATTATCCCCAAAATTTCTATATGAAATATTGATAATAATGCGAATGTTGTCGCTACATGCTGTCTTGGTCTCATCCATTCTCTAAAGTCCGAATTTGTTTTCGCTTGACTTAAAATGAAGATAAACGCAATCAAAAGATTTAATCCTGATGTTCCGAATAATACTATTATGCTAAAAAAAGAAAGAAAGAAAGAAAAAGGAATTAAACAGGATCCTACGAAGGTCTTTTAAGTGAAGTTTCAATACCTTGGAAAAAATAATTTTCGAACTTTTGAAACATATTCTATTAAAAAAATTACATCAAAACACATATCAATTATGAATAATGTAAATATAAATATGATCGAACTTCTTCCCTAAATACATTATAAATTACAAATTAATACACATACATTTATTTTTTTTTTTAAAAAAAAAAGAAAGTTAAAAGTAATTATTACTTGGGGAAATTTAAGTCGCGCATAGAGGTAAAAAATCACAAGACCTATGATAAATCCGGCCACAATTAATAAGAACACTATTTCCGCTTTTGTTAATGAAGCTACAGAAGTAAAATTTATAATTTAAAAACATTTTTTATTTATAAAATATATATATATATTGAAATTATATAAACATACTAAAATAATTGAAAATTCCTTTGAAAAAGTCTATAACGTCTTGGATCATTTTGAAAGTAAATAAACGTACGTATCAAATAATTTTAACTTTTTTATATATTTTGTGATTACAAAAAATTAATAATTTCTAAAAAATGATTATAATCGGATATGTTCTTAAAAGTAATGATAAAGAAATTTGCCGGTGGGGTGTTCTTAACGTACGACGTAACCAATATCACCTGAGAAAATTCATCTATTTACGCACAAATGTTACACAAGATTTTTATATAAGAATACATATGCCGAAAAGAAGTATCATATGGTGACACCCTAAGGACAATTATGAATGACATAAAAAAAATTTCACCATATTATTTTTCACTCGCTTTACAATTAAAATGTGGTGACCCATCTCTGAGATCTCTTGGTTCCACCAAGTTTTACTAGGAATTATCTACTTGTTACATGAAGCGAGTACATTGATTTTATAACTGTTAAAGACTAAAGTATAAATAAAACTTAGGTCTTTTTTTTTATCAAAAGCTTTTGGGATTCACGTGAGCAAGTTTAAAATCTGAAAAGTTGATTATTTTCTTTTGAAGCCTTCGTGAAACTTCAATATTTGTATTACGAAATGATTTCTTACGCAAATCGATTCAGCCAATCAGAATCCTTGATGGTCGACCAGTGAAGTCATGCTCATCTAAATTTAGTTGTATTTATAATTAGTTCGGAACGAAGTGAAGGACTATATATGTACAGGTCTAAGGTTATACGAGGTGTCCCGTTGTCCGCCCGCTCAATAACTGACTGGCTCCTGCAATTGCACAAAAGTCTGGATAAAGTTCCGGACTTAACAACGGTCCCCCGTTTCCCTAGTAATAATATACATACGCAAACTGGATATCAAATAAGGTCGTTCATCATAAGATGGAAATCCAATAATTCTTTCTTTAATCCTCGCCTAATTATTTTTCTTGTATATTTAGACAAATCTATAAGTGAATACTAAATATATAATTAGGTAAATTTATTTTCCTTAACAATAATAATATTATTATTATTATTTTGTTAATAATATTTACCATGTGATTGGGAATACCATGCCTATTAGATATGAGGAATTCTTTAACCAAACCAGTAACTGGTATGATCGAATCAAGTGTACCATCTTTAGATTTGAATGGATTATTTTCTATTATAGATGAGGGACGAAACCCCTTAATAATACAGTCGACTCTGGATATAACGAACCTGCCGTTCCAGAAGATTTAGTTCGGTATAAAGTGAGTTCGCTATATGAAAATAATGTTTTTATACCGAACTGTTCGGTATATAAAATTGACCATTAAAAATACAGACACGTGATCACTTCGTAACAATCACGTGATCGTTCGGTATATCAAATACATGGCTCAATATAACATGTTCGGTTAAGATTAGTTCGGATGCGGTATATAACGTTTTATTATATGAATTCGTTATAACCAGCGTAATCAATTATAAAAAAATCGGTTCTGTAACACATGGTTCGGTATAATAAGATTTCGGTATAAGCAAGTTCGTTATATCCAGAGTCGACTGTAGTCTAAACTCAGACGAAACCATATTATAATTATAATAAGGGATACGACGTAACCCTTCCGATACGACGAATGCCGAAACTGTCGAAACTATATTAAAACATCGAAAAGGTATGACGAAATTATTTGAGGAGGTTTCGGCAGGCATTTATATTTTCTATATATATATTTATGGGTCTTTATTTTCTACGCACCTGCACAAAATGTAGGGGTGTGTTATATAAGTGTGACAAATAAAATTTTTCTATTCTGTCCCCAGAATAAACCGTAAAAATGTAACACGTAGGGTGTGATACGTTGTGATAAATAACCCCTAACCCTAACCCTAATCCTAATCCTAATACCAACCTAACCCTAACTCCGCTCCAACATATATAAATATAGGGGGGTGCATTTTGTGCAGGGTGCGCAAAATACAAATTCTCTATATTTATTTACTTATTTTATATAATTTTTGCAATCAAAAAACAAAAAAGAAAAATATATATATATATTTTTATTACCTGAGTTAAAAGCAATTAAATAAATTAAAATAACAGATGTATTAGCAAACACATCTATTTCTATACTTGAATCGGCGAATCTTATATCTTGTGTTAATTTATTATCATTGGAAAAAATTTTCATATAAGTACCGTTCTCTATTCGTTGAATAAGCTGTTGCATTAATTTCACCTACATAATAGTAAATTAATATCCAATATATTTATGTAGATATATTTTTTTTAAAAAAAAAAAATTTATTTTAATACTTCACTGATATCTGAAAATAAAAATGGTTATTTAATAAATATATCTCACAAATGACTCATTTTTTTTTTCGTATGTGCATACCAGAAAATGCGATACAAGAAAAATTAGTATTAAAGTCTTAATACAAGTTCTTAAATCATGAACGAATTTAGTCGACGTTGTGATCAAATCATTGCAATGCATTGATTGTTATTATAAAAAAGAGATTGATAATTAACTTTTGCAAAAGAATAGATTATTGCACTTATTCATATTTTCAAATTTAAAAATTTATTTGAAATATTAATTCATTTTTTGTTTTCTCTTTTAGAAATACAGTAAATCCTGTAACTGATAGTAATCATCCGAGTTAAATTATGACGTTTTTTAGCCCATTTGGTCGTAACTGAAAATAGTACTTGTATACTGCGTACATAATCATATCATACGCAGATCAATTTTACAATATATTTCACGCCTTTTTAGTTTCTGACAATTCATTTATCAATCAAACCTTTAGTGAATCTTAAAAATATTCTGCAAAATTTTTTGAATTCAAAACGCGATTTTTTTTTTTTTTAAAGTATTTAATTGAACACTTAACAACATATTTCAACTTTGTATTATGAAGGGTGCTTCTATTATGAGCGTTTATGAAACATTTGGGTTATGAAAATAAAAAAAACTGATCCATGGGTAACTTTTAATTAATTTGAAATATGAATTGCCATTATATGGGAAGTAAGCTATTAATATCAACGTTACGGATCATATGATTTACCATATGATAAGCTTTTATTTGCTATTATGTGAATGCAATTAGGTAATTTACCCGTTTTTTGTAGATCCAAAATGGGACTGATAAATTAAAATTTTTCGCTATATACCGTAAAATTTTCTGTTATCAATATGAAAATTCTAAAGCTGGATCACTCATTGTAGAACAACATTAAAAATTGGTGTTTTTGAATGATACTCACTATGAAAGACCAAAAAACGCTAAGTGTATTTATTTATATCATATATGTACAAAATAATATATAAAATTTAAAGTATTGTATGCAAAAAAAAAAAAGATAAAAATAAAAAAGTGCTAAAATTTAGATATTTTTGTCAGAATATCTATATATATATATATAAAAAAAGAGATAAATTCTAGAAAACAAACTTGAGAATTATATTATTTAATAAATTCAAATAAAAATGAAGATCAAAGTTTTACGAGATTTTATTTTCAATCTTACATTTCTTTTATTGCTTTTCGTTCGAAGTTTTGCGTACAAAATCAGCCCAAATACATTTTATGTTAAATTCAATTCTTCACCTTTCACTTCATCAATTGACCATATTGAAGCTCAACATGTTACTTTTCGTAAAGAGTTAAATAAACTTGGAATTCATGTCAAAATTAAAGATGTATTTAAACGATATGCAAACGGGTTAAGTATTGAAACCGATGAACGACACTTAAAGAGAATCTCTGAAATTGAGCACGTTGAAGGCGTTGAACCTGTGGTAAGAACGATATCCGTGCGATTGCGCTAAAAAATTTCCTCATGACCAAGATAATAAAATTTAGGTTTGTTTACATTTTAGAAAATATATAGACGAATTGATCCAATCAACTTTGATCATAATAAACGTGCTGAAGCTTATAATCAAACAATCTTAATCGCTCCTAACAATGATATCAATTCTGTTCATGAAGTTACTGGCGTTAAAAAAGTTCATGAGGAATTAAGACTCTCGGGAAAAGGTGTTAAAGTTGGATTCATTGATTCTGGTATTTTCAAGATCTTTCGTACTTTAAAAGTCCAAATTTTTTTTTTTTTAATTTGTATTAATGGTTACCTATAATCATTGTTAGGCATTGATTATACACATCCTGCTCTTGGAGGATGTTTTGGACCAGGATGCAGAGTAGCATTTGGGTATAATTTTGTTGATAATAATGATGACCCTTACGATAATTGCAACGGACATGGAACTCACGTAGCAGGAATTGCTGGGGGCATGGACCCAAGGGATGACGGACCTGGATTTGTAGGCGTAGCTCCTGACATTATCTTTGGTGCATATAGGATATATTCTTGCGATTCATGTGAAAATAACAAGTGTGCAAATAATGCTGAAGAAATTATCATAATGAAAGCTATTATAAAGGCCGTTGATGATGGAATGAAAATCATAAATTTGTCATTGGTAAGTAAATAATAATAATAATATTTTTTTTTTTTTAAAAAAAAAAAAAAAAACTATATAAGCTATTAAATTGTTTTGATTTATGCAGGGAATTGATGGCAACAATAAAAACATGCTTGCAACATTGGTCAATGAACTAACCAAATATAAAGGAATAATATTTATAGTAGCGTTAGGGAATAATGGTTTTGATGGTTTATTTACCGGTGGATTGCCAGCGACGACTCACCATACCATTGGCGTTGGCTCATTTGAAACGAATAAAGTATTGAATTTTAAAGCTTTTGATCCGAGAAATCCAGAGTTTGTTATTAGTTAGTATATTTATATATGGATTTCTATTTTCATATTTTTCCATAATTTCGTGAATTAAAAAATTATTTATCTTATTTAGGTTATATTTCAAATAATGCAACGGCATTTCCTTTTGAAAATGCTAAAATTAAGTTATTTCCAATGGATAAATGTTTGAATGATTATAAAGAATTTGACAATACAGTGATCATAGTTGACCTTAGAAATGAATTGAAATGTCCAGAATTAACAATTCGTGTAAGTTTAATCTAATATAATTTCTTTTTTTTTTTTTTTTTTTTTTTTAAAAAAAAAATATATTTCCTTTTAAAAAAAATAAATAAAAAGCCAAGGTATTAAAAAATTTTTTTTTCTAGCTTGCCAAAATAAAACCACTCGCAGTGTTAGAATCCTTAGATAGGTTTGGTGTTCAATATGATCAATTAACATATTTACCAACAAAGTACGGAGCGATGATTTATTCACAACAAACCGACATCTTAATTAAATATCTTGAAGAAAACCCAAATTTAGAATTGGATTTTTCTGATAAGTACGGATATATGGAAGATCATCCATTTGCTGTCACTCCTTCTGTATTTACAAGTTGGGGTTTATCAAATGAGTTAGATATCAAGGTGAGAAACATAACAACTAACTATTATAATTAGTTCAAGTAATTTACCTTTTTAAGAACTTTTTAATAGCCCGAGGTTTGTGCACCCGGAGGATTTATGCTTTCGACTTATCCAGTTAATATTGAACCTTACCTGTTAACTTCTGGAACAAGTATGGCTGCACCGTATATAACAGGCGTAACAGCATTATATTATGAAGTATTCGGGAAACTAAAGTCTCCCGAAGATATAAAAACCGCACTCATGAATAATGCCGTACCACTTAAAAGTCGTAATAAATTATTGGCCTCGGTGCTTCATCAGGGAGCAGGATTTGTTAACGCCTTTAATGCTTTGATATCAACCAGTTTTGTTCACCCACCAAAAATTAATTTGAATGATACTGTTCATTTTAATGGTTATCACAAATTAACTGTTTATAATTTTGGAAGGGGAAAGATGATATATAATTTGTCACATTTACCAGCTCCATGCGTTGATGGATATAATAATACTTTTATAGGTAATTTTTATGGGTTGAACTTCACAAATCAACATGCGGATGTTAAATTTGATAATGATCAAATTACCGTACCGCCTGGATCAAGTGTTGAAATCTCTATTACTTTTGCTCCACCAAGAGAACTACCTAAAGATGGACATTGGTTTTATAGTGGATGGGTAGTGATAACTCCTTTGGACGAGAGGATGCCTTCAATGACGGTTCCTTATGGTACATAATTTTAATGATTTATTTTGCTAAATTATTTATTTAATATTTTTAGTAAATACTATAACGTATCATTTTTTTATAGCCGGGTTAGCTGATGATGCAAAATCGCTTCCAATATTTCAAACTCCAAAATTTCCTAAACTTGCTAATTTGACTGAAAATTACATCACAAATGAAGATCCGGTTAAATCATTTTCCTTTAATACAAGTATTAGGTTATTAATTGATAAACCAATCGTGCACCTTGGACTTGCAACTCCTACAGACATGATCGTTACTGAAATACTTGACGCAAATCAGGAGTTTTTAGGATTTGTGAAGGATTATACTGGAATTAAAATTATGAAAAATCCGGTAGAAACATCGAATAATTTGGTTTCATGGAATGGAATTATTTATAATATAAATGATACAGGTACTCTCGCTCCTAACGGGGAATACTTTATTAGGATTAAAGCGTTAAAATTATTTGGTGATAAGAATAACGAGAAGGATTATGAATATTGGATTAGCCCCAAATTTAGAGTTGAGAAGCCGATCTTTACTAATCCTTTGCAATGATGAAGATATTGTATCTTAGAATAGGAAGTAGTTTAGCGTTGATGCTATTTTTATGATTTATTATTAAATCTATCATGTGATTTTAAATCTCAACGGTAATATTACTAATACATGTATGAGTATATAATAAATGATTAGAATTCATTTTTGAGCTTAAACCCATAAAATGATAGTTAAAAAAAAGGTTAGAATGATCACGTGAAAATAATTTCTTGAGAATGCCATATAACCGAGGGGTCAACTACTTAAAATCTGTGCTAACTAGAATCGTTTCAAAATCACGACAGAGAATGAGACATATTTGGGCACTTGACTGAGATTTGGAATCGTTTAAGCATGTCAAATATTTGGAGTGGAAGTTATTTGGAATGGTTTATCGGAGGCAGTGTATGACTTCCTTCTATTTGACATTTCTTTTTAGGAAATCCCCTCTACAAATTGAATACAAATAATATTGAATCATCATCACCATTACATCATTGTCGATGATTTAATATTCTTTGTCAAGTATAAATAAGACACGTTTTCGTATGTTTGAGTAAAATAATGTCAACGACAAAGTATCGAGAAGCACAAAAAATCCGAAAAACATACGAGATCTCTCCAAAGGATAAATGAAAAGAAAAAGATCCAGAAATGTCCAGACTGCGAACTCATCAAGGACATAACGCAAGGGTTTTATATCCATTTTGGAACGATCATACCAAGGAGATATCGAGGAGGTTGTGGTTACCCACAAGGACCGGCTCTGCCACTTAGTTTTTGAACTTGTCGAACGGATCTTTGTTAAGCACGATACAAAGGTCATGGTACTCGGTACGGACATTTACGTTGATGACACCGAATCCGGTGAACCTGCCGAGGACTTATTTTCAATCTTTACTATCTTCATGGCAATACACAATGGGCTCAGATCAGCCGAGAGTCAAATTGTTGACGGAAGGTCAGGTTTTGGCCTGACTTTTGGACTTGAACCTTTATGGAATTCGATATGACTAACCTGTTTATTCACAATTTCAAGGGTGGATTTTGTTCAAAAGAAGTATAATAGTTAAAATGTTGTCCTTACTTTTTTTTTAAAAAAAAATTTTAATTTTCGTATTAGATTGACGGATATATAATTCATATACAGAGACAACTTAATTATTTTTTTTTATTTAATATTTCGAGAATCGATGATTCGATAGTTTGATTTTTGTTGGTCAATTTTGTACTTATCGCTAAATAAAATATATTTGAGCTTATTGATTGTGATGAGCAAATTGTAAAGATGGTAAAAAATTATGAATTTATATTATTAGGTGAATTATCAATTGCCCTTAATCATAAGATATTATTCCCAATGAATTTCACGATGACTTATTAATAAATTTTTAAAAAACTGTGGTTTAATTGATATTTAATAAGAAAAGGTGCTGCTGCATACACGTTTGAAAACGAGATTTACTATTTAATCATTTGTAAAATCCATACATTTCATGCCTTTAAATAAAGAAAAGTGAGGTTTTGTAAAATTTATAAATTTACAAATTTACTGATTCATCATTTTCTTCGTTGATCTGCCACATTATTGTGTTAACACTAACTGACAGTTTTTTAAAAAAAAATACAGAATGAAACTAACATCACTATTGATTTTTGGTTGATGATATTGGGTGATGGTGATTATTATGATGATAACTTTCTGTATCGAGTAATTTTTACACAAACAAATGTTCGCTACGAAAAATCATATGATCCGTAACTCGATTTTAATAGCAAACCTCCAATATATCTATTTCTACAAGTTCTATACGATGCTCTTAAGTTATTGAGCTTTTATTTCAGAACTGGTGAACATTGGATAGTACATCAATTCCCCCGTCGATTAAAATAACTCATTTAGAGCCAAATAGAACAAAAGGTAATAAACTACTTACGAAATGTGAATTTCTTTTGGTAGTCCAGGAGATTAGAAAAGGCATCAAATAAAAGTGAATTACCTAAGAGCGTGCTATTAAAAAAAAAATTACATTATTATATCAATTAAAAAATCAAGTTGAACTCGAGGTATTAAGATCGATCTTTTAAGAAATCAAGAATTGACTGGAAAAATCAGGTGACGAATACACATTATGTCGGATATGGCAATCTTTTTCTTCAGTTCTCCCAAATAGTGTGTTAGGTTACATTGCTCGTCACGTGATTAGAACGTATATATATGGATTTTCTATTTTACATTTTTTGCATGAGGGATTGATTAACTTTCTCTTTCAACATTGTGTATTCAAATACTGCGGGGCAAAACCAATATTATTTTTTCCGTTATCATTTGTTTTTCTTTAAAAATGTTTAAACTTAATAATGATATTCTTTACTTGATAATTGAAGAAATACAGGATGCCCATTCCCTCTTTTCATGCCTTTTAGTCAATAGACGTTGGTGTGCGGTCGTGGTTCCGATCTTATGGGAGGATCCTTGGTGCACGGGAAATAATCTAAATCAAAGTTCTTTGTACTACCAATTTATCTTGCTTTTATCCGACAATAGTAAAGAATTTCCAAATGATAAAATTCGATTACCCCAATCCTCACACCGGCCACGTTTATTTGATTATCTTTCGTTTTGCAAGAGTATCAATGTATCTGCTATAAACAATATCATTTCTTCCTACTCTCCTTCAGGCAGTGATCAATTTCATCTTCAACAAGAAATTTTCCGTCTTCTTCTGAGGAAATGCTCAATGTTAAAGGATTTGGATATTAGAACACTTCAACAACAGATATTTTTATTTCCGGAAGCAACGAATCGTCTCGAATCGTTGTGTGAATTATCATGCGATAATTCCATGGATTCTGTATACTTTTATGATATTGCACGTATCTGTCAACATATACAAAGGTTGATTATTAATAGTACAACCATAGAAGACAATGAGGGACTTGCTAGTTTAATTGAAGTTCAGAAAAATTTAAAATATTTTGAGTGGTATGATAATTTAGACGTTAGTGAAATGAGAGTAAACGCATACTTTGTAGGTGATATTTATAAGGAAATTTATATGGCCTTAAAGAAAAAGGCAGATACCCTAATTCATTTTATAACCTACTTTATTCGCATTCAATTTTTCACCAATGTTTTATCAAAGGTGCTTCCGGAACTTCATAATTTAAAGGTATTAAACTTAGATATACTTGATTATAAACTTAAATATCAATTGAATATTTCGAGATTTCAACATCTTGAAGTCCTTCAAACAGGTTATATCACGATTGATACGGTAAATTGTTTGATTAAAAGCAGCGGAGGATGTCTCAAAAAAATTTTAATCGGGGATTTTGAAACCTATAACGATAACCTTTATGATGATTCCCTTTTACTTATTCGTACCGTTCGTGAAAATTGTCCTTTAATTGAATGTCTGTCACTCGTGTTTATAACATCAGACGATCATTTCATCGAACTTGAACGTTTACTTAGGACTTGTCAATACTTGAAGGTATTAATATTAGAGACGATTGCCGATTTTGATGAGGATGAAACCATCACGTACGAACAAAGAGGGTTGGCGGGGGAAAAGTTATTAAACGTATTAATTAAGTCCACACCGATTAACCTAAGTGTAATTGGAATTTTTGATGAATACTTTTCAATTAATATCCTAGGAGAATTTTTAGAGAATTGGAGAGGTCGACAGGCTCTTTCTATTCTTACATCAAACAATGAATACGAAAATGAAGAATTTGCAAAATTAATTGATAAATACAAGGAGGAAGGTGTGATTAAAAAATTTAGTGATAGTGATGTGCAAAGCATTATTGACAATTATGGAATATAGATTGTGCGTTTGTTTTTATTTGTCGGAATGGTTCATTTTTTGATTTGTATACTAGTCGAACGTTTAATAAATTATTTAATATCACGTGATTAATATATTGCAACTTCGATTCCTTGATATATTATACAATTTCTTTACCGTTACATCATTATTACTTTCTTTGTCTGGTGATATTAAAAGGTTTTTCATCACCCAAGGAGTATAATTAATTACATCCGATTTTATTGATCGATATAAATGTTATAAAGATTCGGTGCTTATGATATCTTTCTTTCGTAATTTACGGTCTCTTTATAGGAAAAGTATTGGGTATAAGATCTTTCAACATCAAAGATTTTATTAACTAGCGTGATATTACTTAAAGGCATAATGATGCAAATTTTGGCTTGAAGGATAATTGAAGATCAAAGAATTAAATGAAAAAATAGGTATTTATGTAATAATATTTCATACTTATAATCATATAACAGAGAACCTTCAGTATTTCACAACTTAAGCATCCATCCAAAGACCATACTACGTCGGTTAAGTTATAAAAGTCGAAAACTGTAACAACATAAAACGCGAATCTCTTGACTCATTAATGATTTGAAGAAAATTTGACAATATAGAATAGAATCATGAAGCAATTTTATGAAATTACTTATATTTAACTATAAGTATTATTTAATTATTGGGAAATTGATATGTTCCCGTTTTCTTTATTAAAAATTGGGTTTGATCTTTTAATCTTGCGTTTGATGTCTGTCGAAGTTCTAATATATGTATTACTTATACAATAGAAAATTTTAATACATCATTGACGTTTTTATTTTACACATAAATATAGTTTGTCATTATTATTACCTGTTTTATTTTTCCTATCTCCTTTTTCTTCAAATTAAAATGAATAAAATTTTAAAAAAGCTTCGGAATTATTACGCCTTAAAAATAATACTATTATTATAAAGAAAAACTTTCTCGTCCATTTATAGAAACTGTACAAAATATTTTACTACATCAAAACCTCAAAATATTAAGAAAAATACTAGGTTATGGTTCTCCAGATTTGAGTAATTTGTAAATGATACATAGTATGATATAGATTTATTAACTCTTTATGATAAAAAAGTTATTGCATTGTTGCTATGTGAATTTTTGTAATTATCAAAATAAAAGAGAAAAAGGATTATGAGCAAATTCATTGTATAATGGAATCTGTGATATAAATAGATTTTAATTATTTAAAGATAAAGAATTATTTAATATAAAAAGATTTTGACATTCTAGGATAATTGAACCTAAAGAAATTAACAATAGAAAATATAATAGTGCAAAAAGAAAAAAAAATGATTAATATCTTTGATCATTCTAAAATATTAAATAAAACATTTAATGATTACTTAGATGAGTATTTTTTATGGTATATTATAAAATAAAGGATCTTATTAATAATATTATAGCTGAATATTTTAAGGAATAAAATAATAGAAAATTATTATTAGAATGATCATTAATATTTGCTTTTTCTATCAACTAATTATATATATTATTTTTTCAAACAAATTTGAAGAATATATAATATGCTATGATATTAAAACATATCTAAATTTATGATCAAAAATACTGAAAAATATTTTTTCATTATATTAATAAAAATCTTTAAAATAATTTTTTTTTTATTAAAAAATAATATAGTTAATTATTTAATTTAATAGTATTTTTATTTTTTAAAATTAAAGAAAAAATGATATTTTATATAATATATAAAACAAAATAAATTATCTAGAATATTAAAAAAGAAATTTATATTACTATTATTACTGATTATACAAATAGATTAGTTATAAATCATTTTAGATTAAAATATATAAGTATTATATATTTATAATTTATAATTATTTTTTAATTAATTGAAAATTTTTATTTTATTTAAATTATTTTAAATATTAATACAAAATAAAATTCAAAATTTCAATTTGTAAACTTAATACTTTCAAATATATTTAAGGTATTTTATTTTAATTTTAACAAATAAATTTATTTTATATTTAAAATTTATTAATAGAATATATAAAAAAACAATATCAATAAAAAATTAATAGAATATAATAAAAATATTGATAATAATAGTAATAAAATAATTCAAATTTTAAAATTTATAAGTTTTTCTAAATTCAAATACTACTATTTCTTTAAATATAAAAATTAAAATTTAAAAAAAATAAATTTATATATATTAAATATATTAATATTATTATAATTTTATAAAAGAATAAATAATTTAATAATTTATTTTAAATAGTATAATAAATAAATATGTTTTTTTATAAATAAAAATATATATAAATAAGTATAATTATATAATTATATAAATAATATTAATTAAAAAATAACTTTTAAGTTAATATATATAATTTTTACTTTGTTTAAAAATACATTAATTTATATATTATATTTAAAATCAATTTATTATTCTAAATTTAATTAAATTAAATAATCATTAATAAATTTGATTAAATTAATATATTAAAATAGAATAATTCAAATTAAAAAATATTATAAAACTAAAAAGAAAATATTTTTATAAAAAAGATTTGAAATTTATAAAATATTTAGTATTAAATATATTAAAAAATTTTAATTTTAAAATAATTTAAGATTTAGAATAATTAAAAAATTTTGATTTTAAAATTATTTATTATATAATAATTATTTTAATATAATATAATTTATTAAAAAAAAAAAAAATTTTTTATAAGTTTATTTTATTAATATTTTATATGATAAACTTTAATAATAAAATAATTATAATAATTATATATATATAAAAACTAGACTTAATTTGAAACTTATTTATAATATTTATAATATATTAAATCTTATTAGATTTTATATTAATTATAATAAGTTAAATTTTAGCATATTATTTAATATAATAGATTATATAATAATTTATATTTATAAATATAGTCAGATCTGTCTATAATCACTACTTTTAATCGGTTAAAAATAGATAAGTATGATTATAGTAAAAATTATAATTTTATAATTCCAGCCACAATTACAAAATTTCCTTTTTTAAAATTTAAGATTACACTGATATCCACTTATGATAATTTTAAAAAATAGAAAAAAATATTTTTTTGTGAAATGGATATCACCAAAAAGGTAATTCTGCGTTATAAAAAGTTCTAATATAGTAATTCTTAATGCTTTGATCAGAATTAAATATAATTTTTAATAAATTTTACAAGATGTATAATAATATATAGTTATTTTCTAATAATCTAAATCTAAAGAATTTTTTTTAATAGTAATAATGATTAGCATATAATAGTAATGATAAAAAAGGGTTTTCAGTTTTAAATATTTGAGATTGTAAAATTAAGTAATAATAGATAAGATGTGATTATATATAAGATAATTATAGACAGATCTGACTGTAATAGGATTATGCAAATATATAATCTTTTTTTATTACTTTTATATTTAATATAAGGATTAAAAAGTTAACAAAAATAAACTAATAATTTTTAAAATAAAAAAAAAATCTATTTTAAAATTTATTATATATAAAATAGATTTTTATGTAAATTTATATAAAATTTGATATTTATCTGATTTTAAATTAATATTAGATTAGCTAATAAAGGATTTAAATTTAACTTAAACTAATTCTAAAATAGATTTACATATTAATACAATTCTTATAAATAATTAATTATTATAATCAAATCTTAAAAATTTATAGATCTTTTCTTAAAATTTGTCAATCTTATTCTTTAAAGATAAATTTTTATAATTTTATAAACAATTCTAAATATTAACTTTTTTATATAAAATAAAAATAATAAGTATAATTAATATAATAAAATAATTAATAAAATAAAAATAATTATTATAATTAATTTATTAATTATATATAATAATTTAATTATTTTAGTATGACACAGGAAGTCTATACTCAACAATATAAATGTAATACTTAAAAATCTTTTAATTCTTTAAAAAAGCATAATTTAAAAAAATAAACTGGTAACTTTATTCTTTAAGATAATCTCTATTAAATTACCAATCAGTTTTTCAAAATAAGTTCTATATAAAAAGTTATAAGCATTTAAAATTGGATAATTTTCATATAATTTTTCTGAATTTAAAACATATATTATTGATTAAAATTTATGATAATTTGAGCAGGCATTATGGTGATTAATCATAATATCAACTCAAATTATTGTAATTTTAAATGATACATAAAAAAAATGATTAATATCGCATTTTTCATTAGTTAATTACTAATTACGTAATATAAAATTCACAAAAAATTTTGAAACATTATTGGGTTAAGACTTTCAGTATCATATATATATTTAATATAATATAAATAATTGATATAATAATTATTTTTAATATTTTTAACATTTCTATTATTTTTTTACAATTATTATATTATTTATAAATACCAAATTTTTTATAATACTAATATATTAAAATATTTGTTATATTAGAATATACTAAATATTTTAACTAGAATAAATAGTTTTGTTATATTAAATTTTACTATATATTATTAATAAATAATTAGTATTACATAATAACTTATAATTATTTCATTATAATTTCTATTAGTATAAATATAATTAATCTAAAATTTTTAAAAAATATAATTAATAAATTTATTTAATAAATATAAAATAAATATTAAAAATCAAATATTTTTATTAAAAATTGAAATTTTATAAAAAATATAAAATTATTATTTTAACATATAATATAAATATTATTAGTTAGATATTTATAAGTAAATACTATAGAATAGTATATGGGTTGATTGCTAGAAAAATCAGGTTTTGAGAATTTTTTAACAAAATTGAGATTTTTATTGCATTTTAGTTTTTGATATTATTAGATTAAAATGTATTAAGCTCTTAATTTAAGTTAAAAATTTCACAGAATTTGATTTTTCTAGAAACCCTCCCATATGAATCATCCTAAATTTAGCCAATCAGAATTAATCA